ACACCTTAGTTATTCCCGAAAGCAGTTTACAAGAGAACTCAAATGGTTCAGTCCAAAACCCTATAATCCCCTCTTCTTCTGATAAGTATCTTTATTTTCTCATTGTAGGAGTTGCAATTTTGCTTCTTTTTTTGTTTTTTTTAATAAAACGCCAAAAATCCCATAAAAAATAATTATGGCAGGTCATTCACATTCAGCCAATATTAAACATCGCAAAGATAGGCAAGATAGTGCTCGCAGTCAACTTTTTCTGAAAGTTCGGAAAAAAATTGAAAATATTATTCGAGAAGAACACGAAGTTAATGAAAAATCTTTGAGTATTGCTCGGGAAAATAAATTTCCTAAGGAAAAAGTTTATCAAATTTGAGAAAAAATTAAAAGCGAAGAGGGTAAAAATTACTCCTCGCAAGTTCTTTATCAAGCTCCGTATGGAATTTTAATTTATTTGGAAAACAATCAAGAAATCACTCCTGATTCAATCAAAAAATTAAATTTGATAACACTCCCACTTTCCTCTCTTCCTAATTATTTTCAATTGTCATATAGTTTAAAAATCAGTTTAGAAGAAAATAATAAAAATGATTTAGAGGAATACTTAATTACTTATTTACCAAGCGAGTTTTTAGAAAAAATGACTTATGATGAAAAGGAAAAAAAACTAATTTCTCCTAATAAAGAGGAAATATCACAAATCAAAAAAATTATCAAAGAAAATAATTTAGAATTAGTGATGGAACAAGAAAAAGCAGTGTGAAAAGCCATAATTCCTTACCGATTAGTAGAAAAAGAGGAATTAGACTACTATCAAGAGTTAGAAAAGCAATTAAATAATAGTAAATTTTATTCCAATGTAGAGAAATAAAAAAAAATACACTCTCTCTTGTCTAACTTTTTTCATACTTCCAACTTACCACCAATTTTAAAGCAGAAAACTATTTTTTTCTTCTAATTTCCAGTTTATTTACCTTTTATCAAAGAAAATATTATTTTTAAAATTTTTACTATTGCTCAAATAACAATAATAAGGACAATTATAAAAATTAATAACTTTCACCAATAATCTTTAATATAAGTACCCAACTCACTAATATTCTTAATTCCTTTTTCTGGTCATTGCAAAAACTTTTTTAGTCAGTCAAACATAATACTAATTTTTTAATATTTATTTTTTTTAAACTTATTAATTAATTTCTATTTTTCTATTTGAGAAACTGCCATAAAAACTACTAAGATAAAAAAATGGCGCGTTCGGGAGGATTTGAACCCCCGACCCTTTGATCCGAAGTCAAATGCTCTATCCACTGAGCTACGAACGCAAGTTTTATTAAATAATTTTAAGCCATTAGTCTAATCAGGTTCTTGATTCTTCATAGCAAAAAGTAAAAAACCATACTCGAAAAAAATTATATAAAACTATATTAAGAAGTAATAAAGACTTCTCTGTCATACTAAATTACTTTAAAAAACAAGACTTTTAAGAAGTCTAAGAACAACAAGAATCTAAGAAGTTAATTACTTCCAAATTGCAAACCTAAAAAAAACAGAGGCTAAACTGTCTAAAAATAGCAAAAAAACATAAAAAAATACAATAAATAAACATTTAAATAATGAAATGACAGGTAATAACAATATAAATCAATATATAGATAAAAAACCTTTTGAAACAGTTCAAGAATTAAAAGAGGAGTATCAAATTCCTTCTTTGGAAGAGTTTATGAAAACTTATGAGTATGATGGTAATTTGAATTATGATGATTTAAAAGGTGGTGATATTAGTGAAGCAAAGAGATATGGATCAATGCCAAAACTTCATCGTGATGTTGATACTTTTGCAGTCGACTTTTCATCTAATAAAAACCATTGGCTTTATCGAGCCCGTTTCTGAAAAGATGGAACTATTAGTAATTTATTAATGCTTAAAGGTATAGATGAAATGAAAGAAGGTTTAAGAAAAATAGAAAATAGGACAATAAAAGTAGTTAGAAATAAGTCGCAATATAATGAATTAGAGTATGAAAAGTGTGAGGTTAGGGAAAGAGAAGTAAAAGAAATGTTGCGAAAAAGAATTGCCTCTCTGGAAAATAATTGAAAATATGAAGAGGAGTGTGAAGGAGCATGTGTAGCTATTTATGGAGGAGACATAATGCAACGTTAATTTTATGACTTGCTTTCGTTGTGGAGAAGATTTTGGAGGTAACAAAGTCTGAGAAATTCACTACGTTACTGTTTATGATAAATGTCGGGGTAAAACTTGCCCCGACTGTGGGAAAGTGAGAAGAGTAGTAAAACTTGAAATAATTTGTACCGAAAATTTTCAATTTTTTAGTCCATGTAGCAAGTGTGAAAGAACAAACAATTACTGAGTTGATAAACTTTGTAGCACATGTTTTATTAAACGAGAAAGAAAAAGGGGTTGTGTCTGTTTTTTTGATAGTGATTATAATAAAGAAGAAAACTATCACACTAGAACTGATTATTATTGCCCAATATGTGATAAGTTCCATCCTTGTCGTGAGGGTCTTTGCAAAAAATGTTTTGAGAAACTTACAGGTGATTATCAACGCAAACCGGAAGATGTTTTAAAAGCGGAATTAAATCCAAATGATGCTAATGCATTGAATAAGTTAAAGGAACAGAGTGAAAAAGGAAGTTCTCAAATTCTCCTCAAGGCAGTTTTATCCACTGCGATTTTAATTGTTGGTTTTTTTCTCGGCTGACTATTTTTTAAGAAATTAAGGAAAAAGAGAAAAATGAAATAAAAAAACAAGGAGGAGTTTGATACTCCTCCTAATAATTAAAGTTAGAGACTTGAATTATTAGTTAAAATTGTAAATTGTTTTTTTAAATATGAATTTGAGGTAAACATTAACAAACTTCTTAAAATTAGTATATATGAATGCTTATTGACTATTTGCTATTATCCCTGTTAGTATGATTATTAGTGGTTTTTTAACGTTTTGATTTATAACCCATCAAATCAAAAAAGCCATGGGAATTAAAAGTTGAAAGGAATTTATTAAACAAGCCAAACAAGCCCAAGCAATGCAAAGGAAAATGGAAAAAGAGGGAATTTTTGGAGTAATGAATGACCCTAAACTAAGGAAACAAATGGAGGATTTACGCAAAAGATTTGGTGGAAAACCCAAATAAAACTTTTTAGAAAAAATTTCTTAAAAGGAATATTACCTAATTTCCCTTATTCATAGGGTAATTTATGGGGTTTAACAAAAGTAAAATTAGTGGCTTTTGAACACGGTTGGAAAAAAATAAAATAATTTACCGGTTAGTTTTGATTTTTTAATTCTAACATTGGAGGGACAAAATGAACTAGAAACCAAAAATACTAATATAAGACAAAGCAATAAAGTGGGACCATAGCGCAGTTGGCTAGCGCACACCGCCGATAACGGTGAGGTCGGTGGTTCGAATCCACCTGGTCCCACCATATATAAATCATTTAAATTATTTAATAACATTATGAAAGGAAAAAAATGACGCGTTTATTCGCTGCAACTGCCACCCGGACAAGCTAGACCAGGACAAAAAACTGCTTTTTTAGACAAAAATGCTATGAAATTTTGCCAAGCATTTAACCAACAAACCAAAGAATTAGAAAGTTCGAAAATACTTAACGTGAAAATAATGATTAATGATAAAAAGGAATATCAGTTCACTATTCAAGGGCAAATAACTTCCGAGTTAATTAAAAAAGCAAGTGGCGAAAAGAAAGTTATTAGTGAAGAAGAAATCGAAAAAATTGCTCGAGAAAAGTTGCCTCATTTGAACACCGATGACCTAGAAAAAGCCAAAAAGATTGTGGCTGGCACTGTGCGGAGTTTTAATGGATTTAAGGTAAATGAATAATAAGTAAATTAATTTGACATTAAAAAATGAACGGAAAAGTTAAAATTCTTATAGAAACTTGCACTTACGTTCTCGCGACATTTGTTTCTAAAAGTATTCAAGGAATCCAAAACTTTTCGATTAGTAGTTTCAATTTTCGCCTGAGTAGTACTTATTGGCTCAACAATTATTTATATAGAAAAAATAGTAAGGTTCAAAGTGAGCAAGAAAACTAAATTATAAATTCTATGGATAAGGTTCAATTAATAAAACTAATGCGGCGGAAAACTTATTGAGAGAGGGAAAGAGATAAATGTTTTTTGAATATTTTTTGCTTCTGAGTTTTCTTTGCAGTGTTTAATATTAAAGTCAATAATTATCCTGGAATTAAAAAAGTTAATGAAATTGGTTGGTCGAGCAGTAGAAGAGGGGATTATAGGGTTTTGGACTGAACCATTTGAGTTCTCTTGTAAACTGCTTTCGGGAATAACTAAGGTGT